TTTTAAAGTCTCCATATGTTTCCTTTACATATAATATCTAGTGTCTTAGGTTGTACTGAGCAGGAAGAATAGGAAAAAGTACTTCTATTCCAACTTTCTGGAAGCAGAGGTGTACCTTGGCATTGAGTATAATTTCTTGTACATTGCATTCTACATTAGATAGTTTTTGTTTTTACGCTCCTTTCTTCAACACCATGAAGATACTATCTCACTGCCTTCTGACCTTGGGGTGAAGAACCTAGTTTCTTTATAGGGAATTTTTCCGTTCTTCCTGACTGCCTTTATAGTCTTTGTTCTTCCGTTTCATTGTGATGATGATGTGTTTAAGTGTGGACTTACTCTTATTTATCCTTCTCATGGTTCACAGTTATTTTTGATCTGACAGTCCCTTTAGTTTTAATTCTGTTGAATTCTTAGTCATGATTTCTTTTAATATTGGCTCTGTACTGCATTCTCTATTTTTCCATTCCCAAACTCCTGTTAGACCTGTATTGGATCTTTTCCTTCAACCGTCCATGTTTCTTAAATCCACACGGTTTCCTCTCCTCTCATTTCTTTGTTCTGCCTTCTGGTAATTTTCTTCAGTCTCTAGTCCAGTTCATAAATTTTCTCCTCATTTTTATTGATTCCTCTTTTTAACCCATCCATTCATTGATTTTAAAGACTGCAATTTTTATTTCTGGACACATTCTAGAAATCTACCAATTCTTTCATATTATTGTATTCTTATAAATTAAATTCCTTTTTTATGGTATTAGTCATCTTGAGTAGATAGTTGACCCATGAATAACACAGGCTTGAACTGTGCAGGTCCACTTCCACATGAATTTTTTTACAGTATGGTAATGTAAATGTATTTTCTCTTCCTTATGATTTTCTTAGTAACATTTTTTTTCTAGCTCACTTTATTGTGAGAATATATTGTATAATACATGTAACATGGAAAATATGTGTAAATCTACTATTTATGTTGTCAGTAAGGCTTCCAGTCACCAGTAGACTATTAGTAGTGAAGTGTTTGGGGAGTCAAAAGTTATATGTGGGTTTTTCAACTGCACAACATGGGATGGGGGAGGGGAGTAGTGTCAGTGCCCCTAACCCCTGTGTTGTTCAAGGATCAACTGTACTTTATTAAGTTCTTTTTTTTTTAAATCAAATTCTTGGAAGCGTAATCTGTCTGCAGATGGCTGACTCACTTGTGATGGATTGTTTCCTTGAGTGTTTTGTAATTTTAGATTGTGAGCTCATCTTCAAGGAGCCGTAAATGTGAGAATCCTGTGTGTCCTGCCAAAGTAATTCTTCCAGGCATCGTAGTCATGTCACTTTCATTTTTATTGTTGCTTATTTCTTGATTTAGAGGTTCATTGTCCACATAGTTATTTAAATTTGAATTTCAAACCCACTTATCATACGGGCCCATGATTAAACTTCAAAGGGAAAAGTTTTTCCCATTCGTTAAGAGGCCAGGCAGAGTGAAAGAAGGCTCCTCATTTCCCTGAGCTGGTGAATAGATTTTTTTCCTCCAGCCTACCCTGTCACTTCAGGCCGAGCCTTGAAAAGAACTCAGATTTAGCTCTCTACTCCCTCCTTCACATGGGCACAAACTCTTATGCTCTGTCCCACACACGTTTTAAAACTCCATACTGACACATCTGGGCCCCTACTGCTTTTTTCTGTTTCTTCTCTTTCCCAAGCATCTAGAATTTTCCTTTCTTTCCTAAAAGCTCAGCTATGCATTTTTTTTTTAAATGTGGTATATTTTATCCAGCATTTCTAGATGTTTCACCCAAAAGAATTTTCAAACAAAAAGGTTTTCTACTATAGTATGAATACTTACCTGTTTGAGCTACAAGAGGTAGAGTATGAAGAGTTTGTTGGAGGGTTGTCTGGGTGGCTCAGTTGGCTAAGCATCTGACTCTTGGTTTCAGCTCAGGTCATGATCTCAGGGTCATGAGATCAAGCCCCTCATCAGGCTCTGCACTCAGCAAGGAGTCTGCTTGAGATTCTCTCCCTCTCTGCCTCCCCCGCCCCGCCCAGCTCTGTCTCGCAAATAAAAATAAATAAATAAATCTTTTTAAAAAAAAGTTTGGGGGAATTTTTCATGTGGAAATTACATGTCTTACTTGTCTTTTGTCCAGCAAGGTGCAGTTCAGTGGATATGTTACTCTTTTGCCTGTTGGAGCTATGGTACAATCTAGATAACAATTACCATAATAAAGTACATTTAAGCAAAGCTTCCAAAGCAGAAAATAACAGTGGAACGAGAATCAAGCCAAAGTCTATGTCTAGATATATGAGTTTTTGTTCCAGGATCACATAGATTTGTGATACTCATTTTTCTGTGTACATGAGAAACATTTCAATTTGCAAATACAAATTCTTTTCTTTGTCAGTATTTACTGTTTCCTACATATTGGCAGCATCTTTATTTGGCTCTCACCTTTTTCTGTTTGCAACTTATATGGTTGACTCTTGAACAGCAAAGGGGTTAAGGGCACCAACCCTCAGCACAGTTGAAAACCCACATATAAATTCTGACTCCCCGAAAACTTAACTCCTAATATCCTACTGTTGACTGGAGCCTTACTGATAACATAAACAATCAGTTAACATGTGTTTTCTATATTATATGTATTATATACCATATTCTTAAAATAAAACAAGCTAGAGAAAAGAAAATGCTATTAAGAAAATCACAAGGAGGGGGACACCTGGGTGGCTCAGTCGGTTAAGCATCCAACTCTTGGTTTCAGCTCGTCATGATCTTGTGGTTGTGAGATTGAGCCCTGAGTAGGGCTCTACACTCAGTACAGAGTCTGCTTCAGATTCTTTCTCCCTCCACTTCTGTTCCTCCCTGCTCATGCTCGCTTTCTCTCAAATAAATAAAATCTTTAAAGAAAATCACAAGGTCGGGGGGAGCACGTGGGTGGCTCAGTCAGTTAAGCGTCTGACTCTTGGTTTTGACTCAGGTCATGATCTCAGGATTGTGAGATCGAGCCCTGCATCAGGCTCCACCCTCAGCATGGAATCTGCCTGAGATTCTGTCTCTACCTTTCCCTCTGCCCCTTCTCGTGAGTGTGCGCTCTCTCTGTCTTAAGTAAATAAATCTTTTTAAGAAAGAAAGAAAATCACAAGGAAGAGAAAATACATTTATAGTACTGTACTGTAAAAAATCCACATATAAGTGAAACCACATAGTCGTTCAAGGGTCAACTTTACAGTGTATTGGGCTTTATATTTTAAATAGAAGAAGATACTGAACAAAACTGAGAAATTCCAGTGTTTTCATTTTAACCTGGCAATCTTAACCTTTTGATTTCTTAGGTTATAAAAGTTGTTCAATGAACATGACTATATTTGGCATGTTTTATTTTGTGTGTCTATGTAGAAAAATTACATAAGATTTGCCATTTTCCCCATTCTTAAGTCTACAGTTCGTTTGCATTAAGTACATTCACGTTGTTGACAACCATTGCCACAATCTATCTCTGAACTTTTCCATCTTTACACACTGATACTCATGTCCATTAAACAATACCTCCTCATTCCCCCCTTCCCTAGCCACTGGCAGCCACAATTCTACTTTCTGTCTGAATCTGACTATTCTAGGTACATTATATAAATGGAATCTACAGTGTTTCTCCTTTTGTGACTGGATCGTTTCCCTTAGCATAATGTCTTTGAGGGTTATCCATGTTGTAACATGTGTCAGAATTTCCTCATTTTCAAGGCTGAGTAATATTCCAGGGTATGTTTACACCATATTTTGTTTATCCATTTATCTATAAATGGATGCTTGGGTTGCTTCTTTTTGGCTATTGTGAATAATGCTGCTGTGAACATGAATGTGGCATGCTTTAAAAACATGCGGTGAGAAACATAAAACTTGTTATTTTTAAATGCTTACAATTCTGATAGCATTACCCTATAAGTTTATTGCCTATAACCGTGTACAAATCATGAGAGGTTAAATAGGCTTCATCTTTGAGTGATGATTAATATAGTTCTGAAGAAACAGGGCCAGGCTAAGTGTCAGCAAATAAATAGGCTGTTTGGACTTACGTGGGGGAGAGAAGGAGCCAGGGCTAGGAGAGCTTGGTCTGGGTTTGGAAAAGGTGTGTGGAGGTAACACTTTCAGAGGTGCAAACCAGGGAACCAGGGACACAGAGCAGGGCCTTTAGGGCCTCAGAATGAGTCCAGCAGCAGGGGGGTTTGCGGTGGTGGTTTCTGATCAAGGTGTGAGGGGTGGAGGAGGGAGTGGGTCCTCTGCAGCTCCTGGTCTCAGCAGAACTAACATTCTTAATCTACTGATTAAGTGTGGGGCTACTGATGCTACATTATGCTAATTCGATTAACAAATTCTGGAGAGTCTTCCTTTCCATTTTATGGAAAATCATATTCCAAATTAAATATATTACTCTGTGTAAAGAAGAAATGAAGAATTCTTTTTACACTGAATGAGTCAAATTTCCTACTTTGAATACTGACCCAAACTTGGCTTAAGCTGTCCTTCCCTCAAGGTGCAGATAAGGGAATAGAAGCAAGACCACAAAAATCTGCAAGGGTGGGGGAAACACACCTATTTTAAAAAAAGAAGAAGGGTGTGGACTTCTCAAAGCCTAGAAGTTTCCCAGGGTTTTTCTTTTGTACAGAAAACACTTGAAACTTCTAGACTATTTTTGTCCCTGCTTGTTCATATTTCTTTGAATAGTGACTAGCAAAGGGATGAATTTTACAAGAATAGTCTTCAAACTTCCAACATCAAAGGAAGTTTTCCCACGAGCAGTGTTTGGAGAACCACTGAACTGGCATGTAAGCCAAATATCAAAAAGGTGAAAATGTAAGTTGACGTGTGTTTTGTTGTTTTCACAGAATAGTTGCCTCTTTTTTCTGTTACATTAACAAGTAAGATTTTATTAACTTTTTTTGATCATAGTCTAAGAATAAATTTGTAGCACATGTTTTAAGGTTATTTTTCATGGTCTCTTTTTGTTTTTCAGATTTTTTGTTTAAGTTCTTGGTTATTGGAAATGCAGGAACTGGCAAGTCTTGCTTGCTTCATCAGTTTATAGAAAAAAAATGTAAGTGACATCAGATGGTCAGTGTTTGATGCATGTCTTCCCCTGAGTGCTCTCCTGCTCAGATTTGTTTATAGCAAAACTTCTGAATATTATTTCAGGGAAAAAGTTATAGTTTAAAAGTATGTTAAAGTAACATTAAAAGTTTATGTTATATTAAACTTCTAGCAGTACGACTGAGTTTTTATTAAGTTATTTCAGTTTTATGTTGGTTCATTGTTCAATATATTATCATACTGTGCATTTTCCAGATACTCCAGTACATTGCAGATGTTGAAATACAACATGGTGAGGCAGAAGGCCGCACAGGACTTTGCTTTCCTGACAGGGAGCCGCCCAAGAAGCCCAAGTAGTACATTGTAGATAAAACAGTCCTGTTGGGTCCTCAGTGGCTTGTACTGTAGTGAAGGCGGTTGTTGTCATCAGTTCTGTTTTGCAGGTTCAAGAAGCAGCTTTAGAGCAGTTAGGGGGTGTGTGCCCTTGGTATGGTCCCCTAGAGTTGGTTAGACTCAAGTCCAGGTCTTTTGACCACAGACCCATCTTGTTGCCATTGGCTTTCACTGTTTTGGTAAAGGAAATTGAATGTTTAATTCCAAAGTATTGTAAAAGACTTGTAAGTTTGAAAGACCCTTAAAATAAACAGTGCTTTTACAATCATGGAAAGAATTGTGGAGGATGACCTATTTCATGGCAATCGGGTGAAAGCACAAAAACAGATTTACCTTCACTGAACTGCAGTGCATCTTAAGCATGTGCGCCTGAGTGGTGGTGGGTAAAATGGGGAAACAGACAGCAGAGGGAGTCCTTGGCAAGGAGCTTTGAAGAATAAAACTGCAGAAATATATTTTGCTACTTCCGTTTTCATTATCCAAGAGCTTTTTGGGACCTCTGTCTAGTGACACGGAGCTAGCGTGGGTTAGTCACAGAGCCAGTCCTCACTGAATGTAACAAGTATTCACTCACTGGGGGAGTCCAGGTCTCTTCACAAGTTGCCAAGACTGCATTGTAGCATCTCAGAAAAAATGCCCCAAGGATATTGGGTCCAGAACCCGCCTCCTTATCGTTGCATCCTCCCCCTGTGGCAAGCTCTCCCTTGACAGTCCTCCCCTAACTCCTCACCAAGGAGATGGGTATGTGTGTTGGGTTAGTCTGCATGGTCTACAGCATGATGGGAAAGGCTTCACTTTATTCGTCTTGTGGCCTTGCTGTAATCAGGATGCCCCTGGACTTTAGCCATCACCCTTTGAGGCTTTTACTCTGAGGTTTCTTGGTAGCTTGAATTCTAGAATGTCCACGCTAGTTCCACATCATCTCAGACAGGCTGGTGTGGTCAGTATTAACCTGTCATCCCCCCACCCCTGGCCCCAGGAAACACTCAACACACCATCAAGTGGCATTCGTGATTTCTTCTAGTACACTTAGATTCTGCCCTACGGTCGGTCATAAAGTGTAAGTCAGTCATGGGCTGTGTAGCCATAATACTAGGTGATAGCTCAGCTCTTCATCACCACAGAAGTGTTTTTTTCACAGACAGTTCATTCTAGGTGGGTTTAGCAAGCTACTTATTTTGCCTGCCTCCCAATATAGATAGTATTGACTTCTCCAACAAATTCATTCCAAATTATTGCCACACAATCCTCAAATTCATGCAAAGTCAACAGCTATCATATGCTCAGAATTTTTGTTGTTTGGTTTTGTTTTATTTTGTTTATCTTTTCCTCTTTTTCCCTTAATCTTTGGTATCCATCAAGTTTCTTTTGGGGGCTACAGGAAGTACTTTTCCTTCCCTTTTATTTCTTTGGACTATTTATCCATTCAAATAGTGGAAACGGTCACCACCTCGTTCCTGACTGAGTTGCAGGTCTGTCACTGGGCTCTAAGCCCTTTAGGCCGGCACCCAGGTATTTTATGCAGTCCCTGTGTGTGAGTGCCCTCCCAGTGGGCAGGTAGATATGATTCTCATGTGGCATAGCCACTTCCAAGCCTAGGCTTTAAAATGAATGGTTTGCTTTAGGGGTTTTGTGAAAGAGCCTTATCATCTCTTTCAGAATAGGAACTATATGTGTATTTTGTTTAAAACAGTGAGTGCTTCTTATCAGCTGACTATTGGAGAAATGAAAGGCTACAGTAAATTACATTTCCATTGACTTTAACCCTTGATTTTGCTTGTTTAAATCTGTAAGTCTGTTTCTTTAATGTTCTAAAATAAATATCTTGTTCTTCTTCTTTTTCAGTCAAAGATGACTCAAATCATACAATAGGAGTGGAATTTGGTTCAAAGATAATAAATGTTGGTGGTAAATATGTAAAGTTACAGATATGGGATACAGCAGGCCAAGAACGATTCAGGTAGCTTTCTCTCTGATTTAATAAAAATATTTAAAAATTGGATTTGAAATAACCAATTATAGTCTCTTCATATATATAGTCTCCTCCTCCCCGCACAGATTTCAGAAACTTCACCTCTGGAAGCTTTAAGACAAGCTAAAAGTCAAGTTTTCTCCATGCAGCATTGATTTACTAAAGAATGCATTCGAATCTCTCGAGTGAGCGCACTCTAATGTAGAGGCTAATTTAGTCTTTGGGACCAATGAGTACATTGGGAGGACGTGGCATTGCATATCCTGCAGTAATACTTTTAGATTAAAATTAAGGCAAAGTAATAGCACAGCAGTTTTTATCTGTCTTTCACTTTTAAAGGAGAATTTTTAAAAACCTCTTTTGGCATTTTTGTTTGTTTTATACTAACTAGAGCATGTTCTGATGGTTGATATACATTCCACCAAATATTCTCTCCTGTACATTTTTATTACACTACAGTCATAATTGATGTTTGGGATGATGACCCCAGACCACTGCAGATGAGGTTACATGTTTAATATTCTGTAACTACTAAAGCAAGAAGTAGATTAATATTGTAGTAGCGGTGTTTGAACAGATACACAAAATCAAAATAGAACAGATATGCACAGTCTTAAAATTTAGTTAAGTAAAACTCTCACTTATAGCATTAAAGTCAGGTGTATATTGTATTTGAAATGTTCAATAATTGTTTGCTTCAAAATTTTTAATCACAATCATTCTTCTGGAACCACTGATTAAACATTGTGGATTCAATCCAGACTTATGTTTTCTTCCCCCAAACCCTCACTGAAATGACTCTAAAACAACTGAAATGGCATGAACTCGCAAAGACCCAGAAAGGGGGAGTGCGTAGTTATGATGAAGAGATTTCAAAAAAAAAAAAAAAAATGGTAGCGATAAGGAGTGGATGGTGACTGACTGAAAGCCGAGGGAGCTGCACGTTCAGTGCCTGTAATGGGGGGAGGCTGGCGAGCTGGAGGCCCGTTCTTCCTGCAGAATCCCGGAAAAGGTCAGGATGAGGAAGCCTGGGGTTCTGCAGGAGGGAGGGTTAGGGTTTCCGTATGCGTGTGCATGCACCCACATGAGGAGTTCAGTCTCTTGAGTTGAAGCAGGGTCAGCATGCATCATAAGGCCCAGCAGAGGCAGGGATGAGGGAAGGACTGAAAAGAGGGAAATTAGTGCAAGTCTGCAACCCCTAGCCCCCCTCCCCCGCCTCTTCCCGGTTGTTGGCAGTCAGGTGTATATGTACTCTCAGGCAGGAGAGACAAAAGTGAATAGCTCCAAAGGAAAGGCCTAAATATGCTGACATGTTGGCTTCCCCAATAAAACAGCCTAATCTCTGCAATTTTCTACCAAAGAAATGAGATCCCAGATGTATTGGGCCCACCTCACACCAAACCCAAATGAATGGGGGAAACAGTTCCAATTAGTGTATGTCAGGTGACATTTCAGAGGGCAAGCATGAAGTGAAAATACAAAAAGATCCCAAGAAGAAAAACAGTCACCTTGAAGGACTAGCAAGAGGAATTGCCTTATACTGTTCAACAGCAACTTTCGGAAGCTACAAGATACTGAAGCCTTGCATGAAAAATTCCTTTCCAACCTAAATACTAAACTTCGCCAAACTGTCAATCAAGTGTGAGAATAAAGTCAGAAGGCCTTTAGATATTCAAGTATAGGGGAAACAAAGGTTATCTTTTCACGTATTCTTTCTTAGAAACTTCAGGAGGATATACTTCATCAGCACGAGGAAGTAAACCCTGAAAGAGGAAGGTGATGTCCAGCCAACAGGGGACCCAGCTGGGGAGACGAGCCAGGACAGGTGTCACAGGGCGGCCGTCAGGCGAAGGTGCTGCCCGACAGGAGGAGGAGGAGATGCAGGGAAGGGGCTGAGAGCGTGTGAGGGAGATAGAGTCTTACCAAAGCAGGAAGGCCGTAAGCCCTGAAACTCATAAGTCAAATAGTTTCATAAGCATTTTATAGAAATATGGAAGCAAAAACCAGAAAAACAAAACTAAGATCCATGAAAGTAGGGACATTTGTATTTTGTTGTTGTTGCTTCTCCAAAGCCCAGGGTAGAATCTAGCACATAGATGTTTTACGTGTATTCCGTTAATCACTTAATTTAGGAAAAAAATCAAATCCGAAGGCTTTGGGAGTGGAGCTCCCAGGGAAGAGTGAGGCAGGAGACTGCAGACTTTCACGTTGGGCCTGTTAGCAATATTTGCTTTTCAAACTAGATGCCTGCATTACTCTGGTTTATATCACTTTTGAGAAAATTAAATACCTCAAAAAAGTACTTTTCTTGAGCATGTAGCTTATATACTTGAATGACTTGTTAGACACCATATGTCAAGGTACAGTGAAATAAATGACTTAGTAGTAGATGTAATTTAGTTTCCCTTGAGGAGAACTCTTACATACCTCTTTCTCTAGAAGCCTGCTAGTTTCTAGAAACTAAAACAGAAAAAGAGTTGTCTCTTCACATATGTGGAAAAGAGCCCTCTCCCCCCCTTGGAGAGGTGACCCCGGGAAGAGCTAATGATCGGATCCTGCTCATGCAGCGCCTGTCTGCCATTTCTCAAAGCATATGCCCCTCTGTAGAGCAATCTAAAGGTAGAAAGGGGAAGCGTCAGGCTACCTATCGGCCTTTGGAGTTCAGGAGCTAAAAATACCTGCCCTTTTCAAAGTATCAAAGTCATAACGAGTCCTTTTGTTTATTTTTGATAAGGTCCCCAGTTCTCTTTTTGCCCTAAAGGGAGGCAGTGTTCTGTGGTGCCTATTTTCTGACACCAAATTGGTGGGGGGGCAGGGTTTTCCACACCAGCTCTCCAGTTCTCCAACACCAACTCTGAGGCCAACAGTTCAACTCAGTTCTGATTCTCTGGAGTTAGCATCAGGCCCCAGAGACTAGAGGTCCCATCCCACAGACCTGCTCCCACTTCATACACCAGTCACAGGTTCCCATGACCCATCCCCCAGGTTCAATAATCTGTTAGAGTGACTCACAGGACTTAGGAAAAGCACAGTATTTATTGTTGCCAGTTTATTATAAAGAATATAACCCAGGAACAGCCAAATGGAAGAGATGCATCGGGCATTGGATATAGGAATTGAGAGCTGAGCTCCCATGCCCTCTTTGGAAGCACTACCCTCCCAGCACCTCTGAGTGTTCATGAACTCAGAAGGTCTCTAAACTCCATCATTTAGGGCTTCTTTTTGAGGTTTCAGTAGGTAAACAGGACTGATTAAATCATTGCCCCTTGGAGATTGAACTCAATCTCCAGCCCCTGAGCACAGGGAGCCTTGTAGGTCTTGATGAGGAGTTTGGTTGCTCAGGAAAATGGACCGAAGGGACACAAGTGGCGGTGGGGACATGCATGGCAATGGGGACACCAGCCATAGGTGACTGCAGGGGTCCAGGCAGAGACTTGGTGATTTGGATTATGATGGTACCAATGAAGATGGCAGGACATGCACAATGTAGGATATGTTCAGTTAGTGCGACAGAACCTGACTGATGGGTCAGAAACGCAGAGCTTTCTGGCTGTATAAACAGAGGGATGGTGGTGCCCAACCTCACCCCAAACCAGGGTGGACCTGCAGGCTGGGAAGCAGAGTGTTCTGTCTTATGAATGTGAAGTGCGACACGTTCAGTTGGCAGTCATATGGAGATGTTGGGGCAACAGCTGGATCTTACAGAAGGAGGCTGAGCTGAAGAGGACATTGGAGTCCAGGTGTGAATAGAAAAGAAAACCCAGGCCTGAGCCCCAGCACTGAGGAAGTCCAGTACAGACAGGGCAGGCTCAGAGGAATGACCCAGAGCTGGAGGAGGGGAGCTGGCTGGTGGGAGAGGAGGAGGTGGTGGCTGCAGAGGTGGGGTGAGGGAGGCATCCGGGGAGGGGCGAGGCAAGGTGGAGGGAGGAGGACTGAGAAATGCCACTGGGCTCAGCGCCGCAGAGTAGGGGCCACAGACGGGACACGAGGTGAGGAGAAGGAAACAGCAAAGACGGAGGAATTCAGATGCAGAGAACTCTGAAAGGATCGTGCTGCATATCTTCGCATATTTTAAAGTGGGAGGTAGCAGAACACATTTTATGTTGCTAATGCAGAAAAAATATAACAAAGGGGGAGAGACTGATAATACAGGGGAAAAAGTGTTACTGAAAGTACCCCGCAGGACCGTGAGAACGGCTAAGACGTTCAGAGGCACTCTCGGTGGAGACAGGGAAGATAGATGAAGCCGTGTTTCCTTGTTAGTAAGTTGGGGTGGGGGTTGGCTGTGGGTTCCTGGTCGGAAGATGAACCAGTTCCCATCCGCGGACTTTCCTTCGCCCTGGGAAAGAGGAGGGGGCAGCTCTGCAGGGACATGGGGAAGGCCTGGAACCCCCAGAGGAAGCAGAGTAGGATTGCTGAGCACTTAGTGTCCATCGAGCTCTCTCAAGCGCTTCGCCTCTCCCTGTAAGTTCAAAGATCATCTTAAGTTCTGTAAGAGAGTTTCATCTACCTGTTAGAAAATGACGTATTTGTCTGAGCCTAACGTCCCCCCCTTCCCAGCATTTCTGTGACATAAATCAGCAGAAGAGCCCCTCATACATACATTCAGATGTCTGAATCATTTCTGTTTTAAGCAACGTCTGTCCCCATGTCAAGGTTTGCAAAGAAAAATGGGTGACGGTGCTCAATAGTAAAGGATCTCGATCGGCTGGAAGTAAAAGCAGTATAATTCTTTCAGGTCTGTGACGAGAAGTTATTACAGAGGTGCTGCGGGAGCGCTCCTCGTCTATGACATCACCAGGTAATGTGAACTCCCCCACGGGGGAGGCAGCTTGGGGCTCTGCTCCCCAAAGTCTGGTCTTCCCAAGGCGCACCTGCGTGTAGTGTGTGTTTTGTGTGTCAGGGCAGGCAGTGTGGCTGGGAATCTGGAGTCCCCTCAGTCCTTTCATTTGGGGTCTTAGAGGTGTTTGAGCCAACCCCTACCACTACTGAACCGGTAAGGAAATCTTTGGGTGAGGTTTTAGATACATAAAGCGTCCCTAGTGTTTCATAGTGTTTTTTAGCATGATGCTTTGATGCTTTAACATATTCCTCAGGGTTCACAAGGTGAAAGTTTACGTATGGTAAATTATTAGAAGTAATTGACATTGATGAACGTTGAGGGCATAGGCTCTGCGCCCAGACCGCCTGGGTTCAGACCTCAGTTCCAGGTTACTAGCCGTGTGATGTCCTCGGGCAAGGTGCTCTAGCTCTCTGGACTTCAGTTTCCTTGTCTGTTACATGGAGTAATGCTGATTGTGTTGTGAGATTTTTCAGGTTGTTAAATTGGTTAATGTAAAGCTCTTGACACATGATAAGAATCTGAGTGCACTGTCCGGTGTGTAGCTACCACCCGCATATCACAAATTAAATTAAAAACTTAGCTCCTTGGTCTCACTTGCCACATCTCAAGTGCTCAGCAGCCACGTGTGTCTGGTGGTTACTGTGTAGGACAGTGTGGGTTATAGAACATTCTTTTCCTGCAGAAGTCCCATCAGACAGTGCCGACCTCAGTGTTTGCTGGTACCACCTTAAAAATACCATCTCCACCCTATCAGCCTGTGGCCGTCTGGGTAGGAACTTGCGCGGCAGAGAGGGTGTCACTCTGTTGCTGAGAAGTACACCCAGTCTGCTTGTCCGGGATGAGGCACACTGTCGAGGAAATGGGCAGCTCCTGGCCCAGCCCGCCCGCACTTGCTCGGGTGGTGGAAGGCTCAGCTTGCTAATGTGCGAAGTCATTCGGCTGTCCAGGTGTGCCGGCAGAGCAGATGTATCCCCAGATATATCCGAGCCGAAAACAGTAGATCTCAGAGTGGGTCCTGGGGTTAGACAGACCTGGTCAAGCCCTGCCTCTGCCACTGGCTGCTTGTGTGACTTGGGGCAACTTAATTAAACTCTCTGGGTTTGGGTTTCTCATGGAAAAGGGGGATAGAGTCTGTGTCACAAGAGTCCTTATAAAGAATGTGATAAATTCCTCCAGGACAAAGTATCACCATATTGCACAGAGCTTGTAAATGCAGCAGATGTTAGATCTTGCTCATGCATGCCGCACATAATTGAGCTAAGTGTTAAGAGCTCAGTAAATATTTGTAAAATGAATAAAGGAACATCTGCTTCCTTTTGCACTTTGATCGGGCAAAATCAAACAGCAAAATATCTGACTTGCGGTTTCATTTTTCTGGAAACAAAACAATCACACCCTGTGGTATGGTGTGTAATGGGGCATTCAGGCCACCTGTGTTACCTTAAAGGTTGTCGACATTACCCTGACGTGTGCAAAAGCAGTGTGTGAGTAGTGTGAATGACCGGAAAGAGTTGCTAGCTTTATAAAATACATGTACTATTTTCGCAATCTTATATTACGCAGCCGAGAAACCTACAATGCGCTTACTAATTGGTTAACAGATGCCAGAATGCTAGCGAGTCAGAACATTGTGATCATCCTCTGTGGGAACAAGAAGGACCTGGATGCAGATCGTGAAGTTACTTTCTTAGAAGCTTCCAGATTTGCTCAAGAAAATGGCAAGTGACCTTTTACCTACTACTGCTTTTCAAATGGGCAGATTTGGGGGGTAATGACATTGCTTTGAATTTACATCTATTGGAATTTTAAGATTAAACGTTACTTAAGAAATGTGAAATTTCCTAGTGTTTTTAGTAAAGTTAGACTTACTTAGCATATTTTCACTATATTGCATTCTGCCTGCAAAGGTTATGATGATGATAAAAGCAAATGTACTAATATTCTGTAATGACTTTTTGGTCTAAGCACAGGCCTTGGTCTAAAGTTAAGTTTGTAATAATTTTTAAAGGCCCTAATCACATGATGGCCTGTCCTTTTTTCTAATGTAATTTGGAGCTAATTTGGTAAAACATTAGTTCTAAATAGAAGGGGAAAGCAGTGGAAGAAATACTGGGCTTATTGGTTTTATTTTACTTACATTAAATTGAAGTCATTTGGTTATATGCCTTTGAAAATTCTCTGAATTTCCATATAGAAAACCAGAGAATGACATAAAATTAATGGTTGTTTATAGATAACAGAATGATCAGAATTGAGACATTTTAAAGAACTGTAATTTTTAGAACCAGTCAAGAACTAAAATATCCTAGTCTCGATTTTCAGTTGGACTCCAGGACTACCAAATTATATTCTTACAAATTGACTGGTTTTATGCTAAGCAAATAAGCATGTGAGAAGAACAGAAGCTATCGTGAGCTCGTAAATACAGAAGCAAGGGTTAGTATCAGCTCTGGTGGGTAAGAAAAGTAGGAGTCCAGGGAGGACCTCGTCACCGGCAGGATGACAAGTTGCAGTGTAGCCCCCCCCCCCCCCGGTATCTGTGGTGACATGAAGAGTATTGGGAGAATATTCATCTCGTGTCGACAGCTGGGCAGCTTCAGGCAGCCTGCTTCCTCACTGTGCATCTTCGACAGACAAGCGCCAGCACAAGATACCTGACACTGTTGAGGAAGGCTGAGAGTTCTTCTAGCATTTAACAAAATATATTGACATTTATTGATTCTGTATTCACAGAAATATGTGGTTTTTAAGTAACAGATTCCATTTTGCCTGCTCTTCGGAGAAAATCCTCAACAGGCTGTTGGTACCTCAGTTGTGATCGCCTTCTAAACGTAGCTTCGCATTTTGTTTGCTGTCACTTTTAGAGCTGATGTTTTTGGAAACAAGTGCACTAACGGGGGAGAATGTGGAAGAGGCCTTTGTACAGTGTGCGAGAAAAATACTTAACAAAATTGAATCAGGTAAAAGGCTTTCCATTAATAAACTTGTCTTCAGCATATTTTACTCTCTAGCTCAGTAGTACCACTTTTTAATTTTCCAAGAGTGATTTGGTCAAAGAGCATTCTCTCTACCCCTGCCAACCTAAAATTGCCACTTACGGTTTTGAAGGCCTTGCCCCCGTGGCTGAGGCAAAGGCCCCGCTTTTTCGGAGTGGCTTCGTTGCACCACTGGTGAAAGAGGGTGGGCAGTCAGGGTTTCAGCGACAGTTTGCTTTTAGAACCACGGTCTTTTGTGGTCCACGGCTTAGAGGAGGAAGATTGGATCTTTGTCCAGTCTCTGCCAACACCTTGCTAGCCCTCCTGGGCCAGTGGTCCCGTGGCATGATGGGGGACCGCCTGTATGAGATTAAGGGAGTTATAGATACATGCGTGATGTTGATACTTGCAGCTTGGGCATCATGGAGAATTTATTCCTGAAGCTAACTGAGTGTGCCTCAGTAGTAACCGGTCTCATTATTGTTATATTTGTTGCTTCAGTAAAAATGAATTTAAAATAATCCTAATTTAGGCAGCTGACAAAATACTCTGTAATTGTCATTTATTAAAGTTGAGTTTTGGGGCGCCTGGGTGGCTCAGTCAGTTAAGCAGCTGCCTTCAGCTCAGGTCACGATCCCAGGGTCCTGGGATCGAGCCCTGCATCAGGCTCCTTGCTCAGCGGGAAGCCTGCTTCTCCCTCTCCCTGCTGCTCCCCCCTCTTGTGCTCTCTCTGTCAAGTAACTAAATAAATAAAATCTTTAAAAAAAAAATAAAGTTGAGTTAAAGATTACCAAAATTATATGTGGACATTCACTTTTTAATTGATTCACTCAAATATCTGAATGTCTGTTCTTTGTCGGGTGCTGGGATACAAAAATGATTTAATCATAACCCCTGCCCTCAAGAACCTCTTTCATGGGAGCCAGCAAAAAATAATTACATTACGGTGTGGTGGATACAATAACTGAAGGGTGCATAGGATCCTGGGATCACACAGAGAAGGGGAACCTGCCTAGCTAGGTCATGGAGGTAGTGTCCGAGAGGGTTCCAAGAGGAGGTGACAGCCGAGCTCAGTCTTTCACAATGTGAGGACGAGTGAACTGGCTGAGGGGGTGGGGAGGAGGGTAGTCCAGCAGAGGGGACGGCATGATTTGAAAGTAACCAGCACTAGACCAGAGAGACTACGGTGGGATGGCAGGTGAGAAGGTGGGGGAGGCGGCAGCCAGGCTAGTGATTCTCATCAAGGATGTGGAGCTTTACCTTCTGGGTTACGAGTCTCAACCCTGGCTGTACACTACAGTCACCTTGGATGCAGGAAAATTCAGATCCCAGGCCCCACCTCTCGAGATGCTGATTAATTGGGCTTAAGTATGGTTTGGGCATCAGCATTTCTAAAAGCGCTCTTATGTGATTGATTGTAGAGGACAGGAAGCTATTCAAGCATGGTAAGCAGTGAGCGATATGGTCAGGTTGGGACTTGAGATAAATCATGTCTGTAGGCGCCATGTTGAGGACAGATTGAAAGGACAGGAGACCAGGACGCCAATTAAGGCATTTTTGAGTAATCCAAGTAAAAGATGACTGATTAAAGCTTTAAGGAGGATGTGGAAGTAGAGACGAAGAGATATAGATGAATCCAAGAAATATTTTGGTAGTAGCACCATATGACTCATGTGCTAAATAGGGCAGGGCAATTGATTTGGGGATGGGGAGTGGTGGTGAGGAGGTGGGGTCAGGAAGGCATGAGGAGCCAAGGGTAACTAGATGTCACACTTGGGTAACTTGGGAAAGAGATGTCATTAAACCAGAGGATAAGCAGGTTCCAGGGAATGTAGATGATTCTGTTCTGGATGTGTTCCCTTTGCAGTACCACTGGCACAAGCCCATGGGATTATCTCATAAGCTCTGGGGAGAAGTCCGGGCTGGCGGTATACATTTGGAAGCCATCAGTACATAGGAGTCGTTGAAACTATGAAAGGAATGTGATCATCCGAGAGCAGTTGAGAGTGAGAAAAGCAGTGATCAAAAGCAGAACCTTGGAGACTGAGAGATGGAGAAGAAGAACCTAGAAAAGAGAAAGAGAAGGAAATGGTCAGAGATGTATGGAAAGAACCAGGGGAAAGTGGGCATCATTTCAGCCAAAAGGATGAGAGTCAAAGACTTGTTCACTATCAAATGCAACAGAGAATAGTCTCCTAAGCTAAGAACTAAGCTAAAAAATATCCACTGGGGTGGGTAATAGGAAGTCACTGGGCATCTTTATCAAGAAGAGCTCCGGTAGAATTATGAAAACAGAAGACAGCAATTGAGGAACAAAGAGGAGGTGAGAAAGTAGAGTGAGTGTTGACTCCTCTCTTGAAAAGAAAAGATATAGTAGGGTCCAAAGGGTTAACGTAAAGAGGTTTTGGCGATGGAAGAAATGTTAGCATGTGTGAATGCAGAGAAAACAAGGGAAGGGAAAGGAGAGGAGGGTGGAGAGATGACAGAGACAGTAGGGTGCTGGGTGAGGTGCAGGGAGAGAGGGTCAAGGGCCCGGGTGGAAGAGAGGGACACTTCATCCTTCTGGATTTTCTTGATCTGAAAACAAAAAAAATTTTTTTTTCTAAATTTGTCACAAAAACAAATGTTACTTTTAAAGACTCTGTAACATTGTTATTAAAATTGGCTTGGTGTTGAGTATTATTAAGCTTAGCACAAGGTTTTATTTAATCACCTTGCTACCTTAATACTGCGTCCATGGATATAATCCATACAAGTCGACTCAGAACATTTTCAAGATACATTTCGTCTGAGATCATCAAAATCATAATTACATCTAGGTGAAAAAATACAAAGATGTAAGTTAAAATTTTTCAGCAGTACTTCAAATTTTCGGAATAGGCTGTACATTCATATGATTCAAAAACCGCTGTTTCCTCCTCTTTTTTTTAAAGATGTATTTATTTATTAGAGAGAGAGTGTGCACGCATGTGAGCCTCCGGAGGGGCCCAGAGAAGAGGAGGGAAGCAAACTCCCTGCTGAGGTGGAGCCTGATGCGAGGCTCCATCTCACCACCCTGAAATCATGACCTGAGCTGAAATCAAGAGTGGGTCACTTAACCAGATGAGACACCCAGGGCCCCCTGCTCCTCTTTTTTTACACAAAAGTTAACATACTATAAATTCTGTACCTTGCGTTATGTGCTTACTAGACCTATGGATCATTACAAATGAACATATAGAGACTTCCATGTATATATGTATGCTGATGCACATACATGTTGTGTGTGTGTGTGTGTGTGTGTAATATTCAGTTGTCTGTATTGCTATAATTTAACCAGTCTACTTTGGACATTTGGAGTATTGCCAGCATTTTGCTGTCACAAATAATATTGCAGTAAATAACCTTTTATATATCATTTCCCATGTGTGGAGTGTATGTATAGGATAAGTTCCCAGAAGTAGAATTGCTAGGTGAAAGAACATAAGCATTTGGAATTTAGGTAGAGGCTGTCAAATTCCTTCTAGCATGGTTGTAGCAATTTATAATCCCACTGTAATGAATGAAAGTGCTTATTTCACTGAAGCCATGCCCACAGGGTGTATTATCATACTTGGGTTCTTACCAGTCTGGTAAGTAGGAAATGGTCTCTTTGTAGCTTAATTTTAAATTAATTTATCTTTGTATACACAATATATTCATATAATTCCAAATTCAAAAAATAAAAAGCGGATACAGTGAAAGTCTCCCTCCATTACAACCCCTCTCCTGTCCCCAAGCCATCTAAAACTCCTTCTTGAAGTCAGCTATTATTCTCACATTTTTTTTTAAGATTTTATTTATTTATTTACCTGACAGAGAGAGAGAGCAGAGCAGGAGGTAGGGGCAGAGAGAAGCAGGCTCCCCGCTGAGCAAGGAGCCGGATGTGGGACTCGATCCCAGGACGCTGGGGTCAGGACCTGAGCCGAAGGCAGATGCTTAACCGACTGAGCCCCCCAGGCACCCCTCTTCTCACTTCTGTTTGTCTCCTTCCAAAGATATTTTTATGCCCCTACAAGAAAACATGTATATATTTTTTCCTTATTATTCAAACCAGCTGTTCATACACAGTGCTCTGCACTTTGCTTTTTTCACTTAATATATTTTTGGGATCACAGAAACAAAAGCTTTTTTTAAAGGAGACTTGCTTGGTCCTCAGGTGAGCTGGACCCAGAAAGAATGGGCTCTGGTATTCAGTATGGGGATGCCGCCTTGAGACAGCTGCGGTCACCACGTCGCGCACAGGCCCCAAGCGCTCAGGAATGTGGCTGTTAGGAGCAGCGCCGGAGTGTACAGGTAGGTGCTCTCACCACAGCGTCTGTGCTGGCCCTCTTACCTTAAACTTGTTCACTGCTCGGGAGTTCTACACCTGCTTAACTATACAGCTTGTCATTGCTTTTGCAGCTACATTATGAAACCCAGAGGTGATGGTATAATTAAAATTAGATATTTCAACAACAGTGGAATACACATTCCGAGCTATAAAACACAGTTTAACAAATTTAAAAGAATAGAAATTATACAGACCACAGTGGAATTAAACTAGAAGTCAATAACAGATAACTGGAAAATCCAAAATATGTGGAGGTTAAACAGAGTTTCATTTGAACTAAATGAAATTCAAAACACAACTTATCAAAATGTGGGGGGATGCCATGTAAGCAGTGCTTAGGGGGAAATTTATAGCATTGAATGCATACTTAGAAAAGAAGAAAGATCTAAAATCAGTCATCTAAGTGTCCACCATAGGAAACTAGAAAACGAAGAGCAAACTAAATCCAAAGTAGGCAGAAGAAATAATAAGAATTACAGCAGAAATTAATGAAATTAAAACCAGAAAGTCAATAGAGAAAAATCAACAAAATCAAAGCTGATTCTTTGAAAAGATCAATAAAATCAACAAGCCTATAACCAGGCTAATTAAGAAAAAGGGGGGGACATAAATTACTAATATCTGAAATGAAAGAGGGGACATCACTGCAGATCCTATGGACATTAAAAGGATAATGAAGGAACACTATGAAAAACTCTGTGCCCACAAACTTGATAACAGATGAAACAGACCAGTTCCTTAAAAGACATGATTTGCCAAAATTCAAGAAAAGAATAGACAATTTGAATAGGTCTTACATCTATTAAAGAAATCGAACCAATAATTAATAATCTTCCAAAACAGAAAGTACCGAGCCCAGATGGGTTCTCTGCTGAATTCTACCCAACATTTAAGGAAGAAATTATACCATTTCTCTACAGTCTCTTTCACAGGAGAGAAGCAGATGGAATACTTCCTATCTCATTCTATGAGGCCAGCATTACCCTAATTCCAAAACCAAAAACATTACAAGAAAACTACAGCCCAGTATCTCTCATGAATATAGATGCAAAAATCCTCAAAATATTAGCAAATCAAATCCAGCAATGTACAAAAAGAATTATAAACCACTTCCAAGTGGGATTTATCCCAGGTATGCAAGGCTGGTTCAACATTCCAGACTCAGTTCATGTAATCCATCATCAGTGGGCTAAAGAAGAAAAATCATATGATCCTATCAAGAGAAAAATCATTTGACAAAATCTAACACCCATTCATGATGAAAATTCTCAGTAAACTAGGAATAGAGGGGAATTTCCTCAGCTTGGTAAAGAATATCTACAGAAAACTACCACTAACATCATCAAACTTGAAGTTTTCCCACTATTAAAAGGAACAAGGTGAGGATGTCCCCTCCCACCACTCCTTTTCAACATCATCCTGGAAGTTCTAGCTAATGCAGTAAGATAAGAAAAGGAAATAAAAGGTATACAGATGGGAAGGAAGAAATTTAACTGTCTTTGTTCACAGATGACATGCTCACCTATAATGTAGAAAATCTAAAAGAATCCACAAACTCCTACCTAAGCACTTATACAGCATGGTTTTTTGGTTTTTGTTTGTTTTAAAGATTATTTATTTGAGAGAGAGAGAGTACATGAGATGGGGGAGGGTCAGAGAGAGAAGCAGCCTCCTCTCCGAGCAGGGAGCCCGATGCGGGACTCGATCCCAGGACTCTGGGATCATGACCTGAGCCGAAGGCAGTTGCTTAACCGACTGAGCCACCCAGGCGCCCATATAGCATGGTTATATAGCAGGATACAAGGTTAGTAGACAAAGTCAGTCACTTTTCCATATATCACTGATGAACAAGTGCAGTTTGAAATAAAAACAATACTCTTTAGCATTCAAGAAAAGAAAATACTTCGGTATAATTCTGACAAAATACGTACGAGATCTGTATGAGGAAGACCAAACTGATTCTCGACTTTATATGGGGTGGCAGAACACCCCGAATGGCCAACGCAGGATTGGCGGAGAAGAACAAAGTTGGAGGACTGTGGCTGCTGGAGTTCAAGACACTGTCCAGCTACGGTAGTCAAGACACTTTGGTGTCGATGAAAGAAGAGACAAAGAGATCAGTGGGACAGGGTAGAGAGCCCAGAAATACACCCACATAAGTATAGTCAGCTGATCTTTGGTGAAGGAGCAAAGACAGTCTTTTCCACAAAAGGCGCTGGAACAACTGGACATCCACATGCAAAAATATGAATCTAGACCAACCTTACACCCTTCACAAAAATTAACTCGAAATGGATCATAGACCCAAATGTAAAACATAAAACTATAAAACTCCTGCAAGATAACATAGGAAAAAAACCTAGACTTTTTAGATACAACAGCAAAGGTCCATGAAAGACACAGTTGATAAGCTGGACTCCATTCTAAAACTTCTGCTCAAGGAAAGACAACAAGAGATGCCACAGACTGGGAGAAAATATTTCTAAAAGACATGTAGTTAAGGATTGTTACCAGATAGACAAAGAACCCTTCAAACTTAACAATACGAAAACAACCCAATTTAAAAATGGGCCAAAGACTATACCAGACACTTCACCAAAGAGCACAGTAAGTATATGAAAAGATACTGCACAGCATACATATGTCATCAGGGAAATGCAAATTAAAACAATGAGATACCACTACAACATACTTATTAGTACGGCCAAAATACAAGACGCTGACAACACCAAATGCTAGCAAGAATGTGGAGCAGTCGGAACTGTTAGTCATTGCTGGTGGGAATGCAAAATGGTATGGCCACTTTGGAAGACAGTATGGCAGCTTCTTACAAAGTAAACATATCTGTAAATATGGTCCAGCAGTCCCACTCCCTTGGTATTTACCCAAAGGAGGTGAAAACACGAAAATCTGGGGCCCCTGGCTGGCTCTGGCTGGTAGAGCATGTGACTCTGACTCTCAAGGTCATGAGTTCAAGCCCCACGTTGGGCGTGGAGCCTACTTAAAAAGAAGAAAGAAAAGAAAACACAAAAATCTGCACATGGATGTTTATAGCAGCTTTATTCGTAATTACCAAAACTTGTAAACAAGTAAAATGGCCTTCAGCAAATGGATAACTAAACTGCGTACATCCAAACAATGGACTATTATTCGGTGCTAAAAAGAAATGGGTTATCAAGCCATGAAAAAGTGGAGAGGAACTTTCCGTGCATATTACTAAGTGAATGACACCAATCTGAAGAAAAGGCTACATACTGTATGATTCCAACATTATCACATTCTGGAAAAGGCAAAACTATGACAATAATAAAAAGATCAGTGGTTGTCAGGGGTTGGGGATGGGAGGGATGAATAGACGGAGCATGGACAATATTTGGGGCAGCGAAAATACTCTGTATAATACCATAATGATGGATACATGTCATTATATATTTGTCCAAACCCATACAGTGTACAGCATCAGGGGTGAACCACAATGTAAATAGTGGACTTTGGGTGATGATGATGTGTCAGTGTACATAACAGACATACCTCTCTGGTCTGGGATGTCGGTAATGGGGGAGGCTCTGCGTCTGTGAGGTCAGGGGGCATATGGGAAATCTATAGGCTTTTCCCTCACTTGTGCTGTGAACCTAAAACTGCTCAAAGAAAGCCAAAATCTTACTAAGAAAAAAGTCCTAAAGCAAACACTAAAATAATATGACAAAGAGTTTTGGCTAATAAGCCAAATTTAAATTTGGAATTTAAATGGGATAAACACATAATTAATCTAAATAATCAAAAAGCCGGCAGAAGGAGGAAAGGAGGAGGAAAGAACCGAGCAGACAAATAGGAAATGGTAGATTAAACCCTGCCAATTAAAGAAGATGTTCTGGGGCACCTGGGTGGCTCAGTCGTTAAGCGTCTGCCTTCAGCTCAGGTCATGGTCCCAGGGTCTCCGGATTGAGCCCCTCATCGGGCTCCCTCCTCTGCAGGAAGCCTGCTTCTCCCTCTCCCGCTCCCCCTGCTTGTGTTCCCTCTCTCACTGTGTTTCTCTCTGTCAAATAAATAAATAAAATCTTTAAAAAATAAATAAATAAATAAAGAAGATGTTCTGCTTGAAAGAATTTAAACTATAGAAAATCCTTAGGCTCTTGGTCAGAAAGAAAGCAAGAGTGGTAGGTGGTGGGAGTAATTGGGATAGAGATTTTTCTGCCTTTGTATCCATCAGGAGACTTTCTTGGGTAAATTGAAGTCTAAATGTGTTGCTAAAATAGAAGGCTTATATATAAAATTCGCAAATGGAGATTTTACCTTTCTAAAGCTTCCTTTTTCCCATTGACCACAGTGGACTTCTTTATGTTCCTACCATATTATCTAACAGGGGTAGGTAAGTTTAAGTAAAGTTGGAAGTTACGTTCACTAAGTCCCTATGGGACTTGAAGCTGTGTTTGTACTGTTACAGTTATGCATATTTCTAAATCGCTCTTTATATTTTTTAGGTGTTCATACAGCGGTATTTGGGACACAATTGTCAGGCCTTGAAGAAGAAGTTTTTTACCACCATCTTTTTCTACTTTATACAGAAGTAGATATTTGTGCGAAGAAAAATAATTCGGCGTGTTATGTAAGCTCACAGATGTGGCACAGCAAATCATATAATAATAAATCTCAATAAACGGACAGTACCATTAGGTGTATACATGTATGTAAGAATTTTCTGTTTCATATTTCCCTTTCACTCTTGGTTCCAATCCTGTATGTTGTAGACATCCTCTCGTGCGGTCTGTCTCCACAGCATGGTATCTGATGTAGGATATGGTAGAATGTTGCTCTAAATGCAGTCTAAAATTTTGTGTTTTTTGATCATACGAACTGAAATCTGTTACTGGTGAGGTGTACTTTGATCACCATGTCGGGTACCTTGCACAGTGCGTATTATTTAGGACCTGATAGTCAAAGACTCTGGCATTGAGGGCCAGTGCGGCGCTCACTTCATGCCGTTTACCACAGTCCACAAAGTGTTTACGTAATCCACCCTTGAAATACGAGATCAGTAGTTACTCACATACGGAAATGAAAAATGGAGTTTTTCCATGAACTTCACACTGTCCAGCACTCTGGTGATTTTAAAGTATCTTCATCCAGATCAGTTCAGGAAGCATAGCCTGAGTACCTGCCGTGTTTTAGGCACTGTGATCAGCACTAAGGATTCTGTTATCTTCACCCAAACTTACTAGGAAATCGGTTCTGCTTTCAGCTCTTCGTAAATGTGATGGACGGTGTAATTTGAGGCTGCTCACCTGTTTCTGGTTGCTCTATCTGGTCTCCCTGCTGGAAAATGTTGTTTGTTACTGTGCTTTTCCCGGGATTCAGTGTATGATGTCACAGCCTCTTTTTTAAGTCTTTTATTGTTTTGTGTTCATTTTAAGGAAACCCACTAAACCAAGTTCATATTAAAGGAATACCACTCATTAAGAAATTTCTGTATCGCTTTCGCTGAATACTTAAATGCCTTACCACGGTTATCAAGTTGACATGTTTTTCATTCACCCAAGGTGTGTATTGAAGTATAATATACATTGTATCACAAAGACTTGTTCTAGTATTTTAAAATGTCAATGCAAAAAAACATATAATAGAACTTTTCTTTAAAGTTGAAATGCAGTATTATTTAAGGCCAAAAGGTTAAAAAGCATTCTTCACCTTCTGTATGTTCTTTCACTGTGACTTTTAGCTGCAGACTGATTGGTAGATCTCATTGCCTTTCAGTTAGAAGCCGCCCACTGCTTTTGTTGTTTGATTTAATCAACAGAGCACAGTGGCACCACAGACTCTGGAAAGTGACTTGGATAAAAATATCAGTATGTATCTGCTTGGGGTATTTTAATTTTGCTTTTTTTAATGCCATGGATATTTTATTTTGAAAAGGCAGAATATGAAGCAAATTCTCGGACTGAACTACTTCTGGGACCTGGCTGGAAGAACATTCGATTCAGTGTCTCATTTATGATAGCTTTGCAGGCTGCTCACTTTTGAACAGCTTTTTGCATGGGATAGGAGCATGTCTGTTCTACCACATCGGTTTATTCAAAAGCAAGAATTTTTAAAATAAGATGTTAAGTTGGTTTATAAATGAGCCTATTCATTAAACCACAGGTACTGCATATATAATTCCACATCCTTTGACCAATAAAAGTTGCTGGAGAACCAAACCATGGTGGCTCTTAATAAAGGCCTTCGGGAGAAATGAAGAAGGAAGATAATTTAGTGTTGGTCAGTGGAGTGTTTTCCAACACCCTCAACCAATTCTCTGATTCTGCAGAGATCCTAGCGGGGTGGCCAGTTCCGTTCCCATTATCATCCACCTGGAGATAACTCAGATCCCACAGGTTCCGGGCGTGGTCTGCCCTGCCCCTCAACGCACACGCACACTTCAGCGCCAGGAGCAAGCAGGTTACCTGTGCTTCTGACCGACCAGCTTCAAATCTGAGATTCCCAGGACCCCTTACTTGGGTTTGATTCATTTGCTAGAATGGCTCACAGAACTGAGAAAAACCACTTACTTGCTAGAATGCTGATTTATTGCAAAGGATACAAACAACCAGATGCAAAGATACATAGGGCCCAGGCTGGAAGGGTCCCGAGTCCAGGAGCCCCTGTCCGCCTGGAGTTTGGGGTGCACCATCCTCCTAGCCAAGGATGTGTTCTTGTTCACCAACCTGGAGACTCATCAAATCGTGTTCCAGCCCCTCTAATGATTTGGTCTTTCTGGTGACCAGTCCCATCCTGAGGCTCAAGGGGCCCCACCCTAAGGCACCTCATGAGCATAAACCCCAGTGTGCCCAGAGGGGATGTTTTGTGACTAACAGAACACACCCCATCACAGGAAATTTCAAGGGTTTTAGGAGCTCCTTGCCAGGAATCGGGGGCAAAACCCAAATATATGTTATTATATCATAGTCTAGTAAATGTTATGTATACATTTCCCACAACTTACTAGGTTTTCAGGATACTCTTAATTCACATTTCTAGTAAAATATGTTTTCGGTCTTCCTAGAAAAATATTCTAAGCTCCATTTAAACTTGAAATTGTTCTTTTACAAGTCCAGGGTTTGGTGAAAATAAGAACGTCACAGTTTAGGAATGAATCTGTTTTATTAAAAACCTATTTTTTGTGACATGAAATCTTAAGGAACATGGATTCCTAGCAGATCAGTATTATTCAGAGTGATGAAGAATCTGGTGTTAAAATTAGAAACTTGGGGCACCTGGGTGACTCAGTCGGTTAAGCATCTGCCTTTGGCTCAGGTCATGATCCTGATTTAGAGGGACCTTAAAACACCTGTGAATTATTAATCTTTTTTTTATGTGCCAGTTGTAAAGTGAGTCTCTTTCCTAATCATTCTACCTGTTCATATACATATAATCGGAGTTTGTCCCAGTTGTTGCTTGGTTACTTCCCAATTATATTAAATTCTTCAAGGAGTTGTTTTTAGACTTTGAGAGGGATTTCTGTGAGGACATCCAGCAGATTCAGGAAGACCTGTGACTGAGTGTCAGCCATCACCCTCTCAGGCGAGAAAATACGGCTTACTGTGAGAAGACGATAGTGTGGTCAGGGAACCTGTGTGTGTCTTTGTCTGCTCTACCTTTGCCCCATTTTTCAATGCTGTAGTATTTGGAAACATCCAAGGCGTTTGTCATTGCACCCCAGACTAGTCCAGTATGCATATCTGAAAAGAATTTCTTTTTAATTTTATATAATTACCATACCATTGAGAACTTCTTAAAAGATACTGATACAAAGCCAAGATGGTTATGTTTTTTCTTATCTTGCAATTATATAAAGTTTTCTGGCAGGTACTGAGAAAGCAAAATGCACATCTTTCATACCGTATTTTCGGAGCGTGTGGCTAATTGTGCCGGCAGTGCCGTCCCCGGCCCCGGGGACCCCTGTGCCTGCAGCAGGGACACCAGGACCGCCAGCACAGCATCAAGTAAAATGCTGATGTCTGTATGTTGGGTGGGGGGCCCTCAAATCGTTTTACATAGAATTTGTTTTTTGTAATATGAGTAATTCAGAGTAAGTCTCCCACATTATTCCCTTTTCCAGAAAAGTCATTGTTTGTTTCCATGGCCATAAATGTACATCACATACCCCATAGTACGTATTATGCCCGTTTGCAGGGGAGAATGGTGCTTTTCTGTGACACTCATGTTTTTCCGAATGCCCCCTGCTTTCCCATTGCTTCTGTGCCTTTGCATGGACTGTGTTTTCCTCACTTGTAATGCACCCCCACCGGCTCTGCAAGTCTGTCGGGCTCAGCCCGGTTGTCCTGTAGGGGGCGCTGTAGCACCTCTCTGCTGGGAGCCTTCTCTAAGCCCCTTCCCGCCCCTGGGCATGTGCAGACACACTCGGCTCTTGTCATTCTCTGTCCTAACCTTTCTTTTGATATTGATCACGTTTCTCTATATGTTATCCTTACTTGTCTTCTTTCCTGGGCTGAGACCTCCCGAGGACAGGGCTGCCTTTAGTGTGTCCCAGGCCTGGCACATAGGAGTGCTTGTGGAAGGGACAGATGATGAGTCAGTTCTGTCCCCAGGACTTTCTAAAGTACTCGGATGTCCAGTCTATGCACTGCGAGATCCGTTTTTGCAAAATCCCTGAAGGATGGTCATATGATCCTGCTAAATCCCTTTCTGTCTGTGAGGGAGTTTCATAACTCCTAGAGCCCTTTTCACATGACATCACCAAGCTGGTGAAGTGGAAGAGCCCAGCCTCCCCCCACAAAGATCCACTTGGACAGCATTAGACAGCTATCCACAAAATCAGCTCCAAGAGAAATCAGGAGTCCACTTAAGAACGTCAACACAGTGGGACAGGAAAACCTGAGGATAACCGCCAAAAAAGGGAAGAAGAAACAGCTTCGTTTTGCCTGCACTCTCGCATCCTCTTAGGCTGGCACTGCTCAGCACCGTGAGGACCCCCCAGCTAGGAAGAGTTCTCCTCACCCGGGAAGGGAGAGTGGAGGGAAGGACCAGTCTCCCTAGGCTTTGGAGGCACAACACAAAGCACCCGCTTCAGCTTTACCCCATCCAGAGGCCGGCAACGCTGAGACCTTGGAGACGGCTCAGAACAAGGCAGAGGGTCAAGGGCTGTCGGTTGCAGCCACAGTTGCCAGTGACCTGCTCTGCAGAGGACCCCGGCGGCTTGCACCCCTGCGGCTCACCCACGTGGGCCCCCTGCAGATTTCATTCTTTGCCCCAGTGCCAGATGCCTGAGTTCCTCTCTGCTCCCTCCCAGTGCCCCTGCCAGAGCCCGGGATCTGCAGCTCCACGAGTGCAAGATGCCAGACCGAACTCCCCCCCCCCGCCCCCATGCCATAGCTGACCCCCAGTGCCACTTGCACACTTGCCCCTAGCCACTCCAGCTGTGCACTCGCAGGCCACCAGCCTGACTTGAATCACTGGTTGATCCCGCAGCCAGAGAAGTGCACACCAACAGCCAGGGTGCCCCAGCTGCATGCTTCTGGGCCTGCAGTTGGCCCAAACCCTTGTTGCTGGCTCTGGCCCCAGCCCCGGCCATGACACCAACACCTGCAGCTGGCTTCCACAGCCAAGTACGTGCACACGCCTAGCTTGGCCACCGCTGCTGCCTGCCCT